TGTAGTCGAATCCAGACACAACCAGAAATTTTAAAAACAACAGATTTAAGCTTTAAGTGGTGGTTAAAACGCGAAAATTCTCGCTTTGCAATGAAAACATTTGTAAGGATTAAGTATACTTCTCAGGTAAAGTTTTACCAGTGGTGCTCACTCACCACAACTTACAAAAAAAAATAAAATAAATAAAAATAATGGGCGATACGACTGGAAGAAGAATGAATCCAGACCAAACAAAAACACCTAATTAGTAACGCCACATGGGTCACTAATTGGATATTCCCTGGAAAACCACTTCAAGAAAACAGCTGGATATACAAGTAGTGGAGTAAAATAAACTTAGGCCATAAGTTTTAACAAAAACAGTTTATTTATGCATCGGACCAACTGTTTAATGATTCTGTTATTTGTTAAAGATTTCTTTTCTCTCCAGAGGTGAAATTGAAAAGATAATTATGACGTAGAGGCCTTATACACTCTTTGATTGGTCGTATTATATGGTGAAGTGGAAGGGACTGGAAACCCCGTACATATATTTTATTTATTGGTTCTAAGCTAAGATCAATAATTACTTCGTATTTTTTCATCGAACTGTATCTTTCGATTTTCGTCGGTTCCGAAACACATTGATTCCGAGACAAAAGTATATAAGCACTTATAAAATCTCGTTTTATGTTAGGTTATTACACCTATGTTGTTGAGTTCGTGTGGTAATTTTAGTACAGTGATGTTTTAAAACTACAATTTATTCGACAAGTATATCTTTGATGGGACGTATCTTCAGTAGCCGGATGTTCTGAAACAGAAGGATACAGAAACCTGAAGTTAAAATGTGTTATTCAACTTTGAGGCATAATTACGAGGTATTCAGATAAAAAAAAATTATAATAGTCTACACAACATTTATGAATAATAAAGAGTTTTAAACACGAGCGTGAATCACGTGCAGACCAGCGTGAAATGATAAGTTTCTAGATATTCATCATGGAAGTTTTTTAACGCTCCTATTATATTATCTAAGTTGAGTTAATAAGACTGCAGAGGACGCGCGATGCGTGCATCTTCCACTGTACGTGGTATTTCTTTGTTAAACAAAACGTGTCAGAATTACCTGGTCATTATTTTTGTTAACACTAAATCTCAGAGGTATGTCGATAAAAACGAACAGTGATACGTTTAAAGCAAATTAAAATTTCAAAAGGCCACGCTTCGAAAACAAACGTGTTAATGACCGTTGCTAAAATAAGAAATGACCAAAGATTATTGATTGCACGCGCAAAATAGTTTGCTTCGATTTTTTTTATGTGCGCTCGTGTATTTACTGAAAATATCTCGAATCATGCTCAACAGTGAAATCTGTTGTATTTTTTAAGTAAAAAATGTTTATGTGCGATATTCATATCATACTTTTTTGTTAAACATAAAGCTTCACAGTGGGTTTGTTTTGAATTTCGCGCAAAGCTACACGAGGGCTATCTGCGCTAGCCGTTCCTAATTTAGCAGTGTAAGACTAGAAGGAAGGCGGCTAGTCATCACCACCCACCGCCAACTCTTGGGCTACTCTTTTACCAACGAATAGTGGGATTGACTGTCACATTATAACGCCCCCACGGCTGAAAGGGCGAGCATGTTTGGTGGGACGGGGATTCGAGCGCGCCTAACCACCTGGCCATGCCGGGCCTAAAAGAAAAAGAAAGAAGAAAAGAACACTGGTGTGGGAGACAAGGCCACATGTCAAGACCGAAGTGTTTTATGTCCAACTGTGTCCTCGATGATAGAGCTTAACTCCTCAGCATATCTTTTAGGAACTTGCGGATTCCCTACTTTAAAGGACTGTTTCAATTTTTTATTGTCCACCAATTCCATATGTTTTACACTTCCACTTCTATATATATTATAATTACAAAATATTTTCAAATAATACAACTCTAAACTAGAAGTCCACTTTCTCAACAAATATTTAAGACCACATTTCGTTTACTTGTCTCTGAGTATCACACATTCTCAGTGTCACTTAACTAATATAGTGTTGAAGGTAAAATAAATAAAAACTGTAAAAAATATTTTTTGAAGAGAATGTTAACAAGAATTAACCATATGGAGCCACCACATGTGAAAGCAGAAGATCAGATAAATAAAATCAAAATAAAAAAAAAAAGAAACGACCGCTGTCATGTTCGCCTCTGGAATCGGATGAGGCCATAGCTTTAGTCTTATAACGCTATGACTGGCTGAGACCGAGCTGAATATTTCTAGAGACTACTGCCATTAGAAGAGTCACACAACAATATGGGAATGTTGTTTCTGCCACAGTAATGTGTTCTCAAATAAAACCAAGTTAGTGTATTGAAATGCACAGGTGCCCAGAAATAGGCTAAAAAGTCTATAATTTAAATGAATTGGCCTATTTTTTGGGTCAATGACTAAATATGGTTTCATTGATTCATATTATAATTCATATTAAAAAAGAGAAATACTACGTTCAGAAAGAAGTTGATTTTCAGCTCCTTAATAAAACACATTAAACGATGGATAGCTGATTTAAACTTTAACACTTATATAAACATCATCTACACACACACACTCGCAACACTATGTCAATAGAGGATATAACTGTATAGTGTTTTATTTCGTTAAAACTAAAAAGGTCAAAAGCACAAACACGGAATACTTTGAATTAATACCTACGAGTAGGTAATTTGATTTCTCAATAATCGAGGTAACATGATAAAAAAGAATAATATTTAACAAGATCCGGATGATTTCATAACGTGACATTAAGCAGATTTATTCGCATGCTTATATACATTCTGAATAATAATTTTACAATATACAGAGGAAATGCCTCGGATACAGCATGGCTTGAATACATAAGTGTAAAATTTGGAAAATTACCAACTTTGTAATAGAAATTGAACTCAAAAACAAGGCAAAAGGTGTAAAATCATGATATGAACAATTAATCCTTTTTTTTTTTGAAAGACAAAAGTGTAATAATCAAAATAAGTGCCATACTGATCACATGACTTGAGCTTTTGTCGGTGATGTCTAGGTAGATCTGAAATGACTTTTAATCTATCTCCCCTCGTGAATGACGTATGTGTTTATATATCTCTCTAAATATCTATTTATACAGACGCTGGACATTCGACTACTTCTAGAAAACGATGCTAGAGGGAACCACATGAGCAAAGCACTAAAACGTCAGACTACACTTCTAGAAACCTCTAGGAAAACGACACAAATCCTCTAAATTCCCATGGTAACTATTATTGCATGACGTATAGAGCAGTTGAGAAACTATCTGTCTCTATCTACAGCTAACATTGCATTAGCAGCTGTAATAGCTGCCTCGAGTCTATATAAAGATATAGCTGTGAGACCCGACTCATGAATTCATAAGAATCATGGGTATGCATTTATGATTACAAACAGCTGGAAGAAATTTCACTTAACCTGCTGTCGTTGCTAGAACCACAGAAGTACACAGCTTATTTATGTTTTAGCTTTTTGTGGTTCTTTTGGTGGTCCAACCCGACGTCCGGTTGAAGTGCTACTGGCCTCGTGGGGCTTGATCGATGGCAAACAGCTAAAACTGTATCCTGAAGAATTTCTTGGTTAAGGCAACCTGCTACGTTATATACCCTGTTGAATATTCGTACCAGGACCTAAAGAAAGTTTTTTTTTTTGTAGCTCCTGCTTTCAAAGTGGCTTGCTGGATGACCTTCCTGTTTACTTAGCATTTAATTCCAATTTTCTTTAACATTATACAAGTATCAATTTTTCACAGAAGTATTGTTTAGTTTTAGTCTCAACGTGGAAAAATATGGATAAAACATTGAAAATTTCAGTTAAATAAAGTAAGAATTTAAAAAACATAGTAATTAGTTTCAGCTCTAAGACTTTGAATCAAATCTGAGCGGAGAGGAACTCCTCGTAAATTACTAATAGAAATGATATATCATATGATTAGCAATTATCATATAGGCCTAACTGTTACCTTTCCTCGGTTTATCTATAGCAAAGTCCTTCCAACAATTTATTATATTAAGCACCCTTTAATATTTCACAACAACCATAAAATTATATATTTCGAAAAGAACATGTCGCGTTGTTTATCCAGAGGCCTGCAAGAAGTGACCAACCAATGGTTCCTCGGAAAAATGCAGTTCTGTCTGTCCTCATTTATATATGAATTAATTTTCAACCCCCCTTAAGCAGAAGAGATTGAATTTTTACGATATACCTTAATTAACTCGCAAACTCACGCGAGAATGTACCTCCGAATCAGACACGATAAATTTTGGATGCCCTCCTCCTGCCAGCTTGGTGTTTAAAATGAAAGTTTGGCTGTCAATAAGACTTGCAGACCTCACGTGTGTTGTGGACACTTCCAAATAAAAAGTTTTTTAACACTAAATACTCGTACATAATCGAACATTATTTAAAAAAAACAGTATTATCAAAGTTCTCAGTGATCAGTGTAAAACAAAACCAAAAAAAAACAACTTACTTTTTCATAGTTTACGTAACAGAATTCGTGCTAGAAGGTTAGGGATAGAATACGTTTGTCATATAATACAGTTAATGCTTTATAAATCAAATCGTCCAACAATTACTTCAACTAGAGATTTGTATTAACTTAACACATTGTAGAGAAAACGTAAACTGAATATAGTTTAGCCTCGTGTAAGAAACTGAACGTTGTTAGCCAGTTCGCGCTTTTCTCGTATACTTATCATTAATACATTTTACAAGTTTTATATAGATTGAAATAATATTCAAAACTTTAACTTATCTAAGATAAAATTTCTTGTCGAGTGAAATATGTAATTCATGAAAAGCCAAAGATATCTGACATCAAAAAGTCATAATACAGAATCACAATTTTTGTAAGATACCAACAGCAACACGACTTTGAAAAATATGTAATAAGATTGTGTGTTTAAAATCTGTAAAACAAATGTCGGGAGGATTATTGGTAATAATGTAGTGATCAAACAGAGTATGCTCAGCTGAATATCACATGAAGGATTACTTTGATATCAAAAATGTTAAGTCAGAAGTTTCTTAGAATCAAAAATCAAATAACAGCGAAAGAACGCAAGGCATCGGGGTGTTACTTTTCAAGTTAAAGAGACATGTAATATATTACTGTAATGCTAACATTGGATATAAAGTAAAGTAATAAAAATAACGTTCAATTAGAATACACGACATCACTATCAAGTTAACATTAAAAATATGTTGAATAACGTGTCAGTTTTAAGGTGAAAATTGATATCTGCATACAGTTGGTATTCTAGATAAAAAGTTGTTCATAGTTCAAAACTATCAAGTTTAGGTATGGATAAAAGCTGTCAGTAAATTGAAAGTATTACCAAGTTTACTTCTGGAAAAGTCTGCAAGTTAAAAGTTTATTTAACTTTATGCCTGGTTGAAATTCGTTATCAAACTTATGTTTAGATAAAATATGACCTCTGGTGGTTCAGTGGGAAAACTGAGGTCTTATGATGCAAAAAATCGAGTTTCGATACCCGTTATGACCAGGGCACAGATAGTAGATACATAACAGTAAACAAACAGATAAAATATACCAGCCAGTTAAAATTATCATCAAGTTTAAGTCTGAACGAAATGTGTGATTAAGTGTATGGATAAAATCTGCCAGTAAGTTATATGACTTGTCAAGTTATGTACAGATAAAATATGTAAGTTATCTGCGTTATTAAGTATATAAAATCTGTCAGTTTGCTGTGTGTCTTATCAAGACGTATCTGGATAAATTCTGTCAGTAAAATATGTATCTTATTAAGTCATATCTGGATAAACTCTCATTAAGTTATGTGTCTTGTCATGTTCTATCTAGATAAAATATGTCAGTAAGTTATATGACTTGTCAAGTTATGTATAGATAAAATATGTAAGTTGTGTGCCTTATCAAGTTAATATCTATATAAAATCTCCCATTTTGTTATGTGCCTTGTCACGTTATATCTCTATAAAATCTGTAAGTTGTGTGCCTTATCATGTTAACATCAATATAAAACCTGTCACTAAGGTATGTGCATCGTAAAGTTATGTATATATAAAATCTGTAAGTTATGTGTCTTTATGAAGTTAATATCTAGATAAAATCTGTCAGTAAGTTATGTGTCTTATCAAATGAAAAATGATAGTAAGTAGTAAGCATCACCTCGTTATTGTTAAGGCAGAAATTTTCAACACTTTACAAGCATCGTTAAGCTAATGTGAAGATAATCTAGAAACAAACAATTCAAATCTCATTTAGATAAAATCGCATTAAATGCCTTATGTTAATTAGTTAGTTTGTCTTCAAGAACAAAGCCACATTAGGCTATCTGCACTCTGTCCACAGCGGGGAATCGAACCTCGGATTTTAGCGTTGTAAGTCCGTAATTTACCACTGCCCCACCGGAGACAAATTATGTTAGTAAATGATTAGCATCATCAAAGTCAAAACAATATCTGCGTGTAAGACACGGGGTCTTTAAGTCAACGATAAGACAAAAACAGCAAATAAGTTATTAACATAAAAGCAGTAATACAGTACAAGAATTATGATGTTATTATCTAGAAAACCTGCAAGTTAGTTAGAACTATCATGAATCTAAAGTTCCGAGAAGTAACAAAAAAGTTACTGTTAAATCGACTGGGTGATATACAGATGAAATGTGACATGAGGTCAACAGCATTATCAAGTTAATGTTCAGATAAGGAACAACAAAAGTAAATGTAAAAATATAACAATATAAGTATCATAACACGGATACCTAACTAAAACATACCAGTAAAAATACGTTACAAGTATCATAACACGGATACCTAACTAAAACATACCAGTAAAGATACGTTACAAGTATCATAACACGGATACCTAACTAAAACATACCAGTAAAAATACGTTACAAGTATCATAACACGGATACCTAACTAAAATATACCAGTAAAAATAAATTACAAGTATCATAACACGGATACCTAACTAAAACATACCAATGAAAATACGTTACAAGTATCGTAACACGGATACCTAACTAAAACATACCAGTAAAAATAAACGACAAATATCATAACATGATACCTAGCTAAAATATATCAGTAAAAATAAATTACAAGTATTATAACACGGCTACCTGGTTAAAATATATCAGTAAAAATAAGTTTCAAACGTGATCATATGCATAGAAAAATATTATCAATATGGTATGAATACCAATAATCTAAACATGGTTCAGAAGAATGAACTTGTCAGTAATCTGTCTAATCAGAACAGTATCTGCTTACAAAATTCATTTTAGTACCAAGAAAATTAGCAACGTAATAGAACAGCCATGAAAACACAGTATCAGAAACAATTAGAACGATCAATTTAACATCACGGTCTGTTCATATTAGTAATACACGATCTCTAACAGACTACATGTTAGTAATACATAATCTCTAGCAGACTACAACGTGTTAGTAGTACACAATCTGTAGCAGACTACAACGTGTTACTAGTACACAATCTCTAGCAGACTACAACGTGTTAGTAGCACCCAATCTGTAGCAGACTACATGTTAGTAATACACAATCTCTAGCAGACTACAACGTGTTAGTAGTACACAATCTGTAGCAGACTACAACGTGTTAGTAGTACAATCTGTAGCAGACTACATGTTAGTAATACAGAATCTCTAGCAGACTACAACGTGTTAGTAGTACACAATCTGTAGCAGACTACAACGTGTTAGTAGTACACAATCTTTAGCAGACTACAACGTGTTAGTAATACACAATCTCTAGCAAATTACAACGTGTTAGCAATACACAATCTCTAGCAGACTATATCGTGTGAGTAATACACACAATCTCTAGCAGACTACATGTTAGTAATACACACACACACTCTTTAGAACACATTTGTAATAGACAATCTTTAGCAGACCACAACATATTAGCAATGTACAATCTCTAGCAAAATACAACGTGTTAGTAATACACAATCTGTAGCAGTCAAATTCTCTGACCTTATCATGTTAACAATATATAGTTTCTAGCAGACTAATCTTTAGACTCTGCCTAGTTAATAATATACAACCACTAACAAAGTAATCCTTAAATTACACAGAGTTAATGGTAACAATCTCTAGCAGTATTATATCCAGGTCTAAACGTGTTGGTTATAAAACAAATATAGCTTGGTTACCTTAAGATAATATTAAATCAGTATGGTTATTTCCTCAGCAAATGAGAGTCCAAACCACATCAGGTCAGCATGACTGTTTCATCAGTAAAGTAACATCTGATCAATGTTATGCTGGCAAAGAACTTTTCAAACCAGTGTTGTTTAGATACAGGAAAAAGTCAACACCAAGACTGACAGGAGGGCAAGGCAAACGTCTGATCGGAGTGCCACATTTTCGCGTGAATACATACATTAAAACTGTACCTTGCAGGGGACCACACCAAGTGACAAATGATCAAGCAATCAGTGGGACTTCTAGTTGCATTGTAACGCCTTGTGTAACATAAAAAAAAAGGTGATTTAAAAATAAAATTTGGAGGTAACAGGAATAATTTATACTTCTATTACATAAAATACTCAAGTGTCAACCAAATCGATCTTATAAGGTATTACCTTTTAAACTTTTACAATATCATTAAATTATTATAAAAAATGTAATAAGTTATCGTAGTTATACAATCATTTTTTTTACTGAGGCTGTAAGATAAGCAAAATAAAGAGGAATGTTGCAATTTCTTGCCGACTCTTTAACTTTTGAGCAAAATTTTTAATTATATTTGAAATTGCAGTAAAGGTAAAACAACAAAACAAAGCTGCAATATAAAACAAATTACATTTTAGTAATTATTTTTATAGTTGCTACAAACTAGCAATAAAAAGGAGAAAACATTTAACCATAAATCCGAAAATGGTCTGTAACTGTTTGTTACGTTACAGATTTCTTATGTAAAATTTGTTTTTGACATAAAAGCAATTTATCAGCACAACAGTAAAATTATCACTTATAATGCATCCAATTGTGAAGATAACTGGCAATCAAACAATAAAATGTCAATAACTCATATTAGCCTGTGAATTTATAAGTCATTTCAGTGTACTGTACGGGATATTGTAATATGTAAATATTAACGTTACTGACAGTCTGAAGGGGCGTTGGATATGTTTCCACTTAGAATTTATCCATTACATTTATTCATAGCTAGTCTAGCCAAAACTAAGCTTTTTTTACTTTTACGATAGTCTAAAATTATACAAGACGGAAAACAAATAATTTAAACTTGGCAGGATTGAAAGTAATATTGAAATCTTTAAGAAAGAAGTGCTAATTACATTCTTTATCACATTTAACATTTAGTAGATATATTCTGATGCATAATGTCATACGAAATCTGGTAAATATGAGTGATTATTTGATTGTCGCAACGTTTCACATATTTTGAAGTATACGTACGTCATGTAAACTATTTGAATTCAAAACTCTAGTAATTTTAATTATTTCTTCTAAACAGTTTGAGGAAAACATTGATAAAAAAAGCTAGGGTAAAAATAAAGACAGTGAACGAAATAGAAACAACTAGAAACCCACTCTTTGTTTAAAACTTTAAGCAGAAATAAATTGTTTACAGTTCAATTTTTCCCACAAAGGTGATGTAAGAGTTCTACAAAAATTACTGATACAGAACCTGATGTGGCCTGGACGTAAAAGCTGATGGAAAGAAGAAGAACAGAGATTTTTTTCCCAGAACAACATTGAAATAATCAGTGAATTTCCAGTAGTTAGAAAAAAAAATCTAAATTTTACTTAAGCTGACTGGCTTTTTAACATTGAAGAACAATATTCTTTAAAAGAATTAAATCGAGTGCCATTAGTCTCAGATGTATACCAAGGCACTAGAATGGGACTTATATCTAAGTAAATTAGTCACACTACACATGATTTCTTAAAATTCCTCTTAAGTAATATTTTTTTTCTCTTGAATTTTTTAAATTTATTCTTAAGGAAAGAGAAGAGAATACACATAGAAAAGTAAAAATTAGATATGAAACTTTGATTATCATACATTTTTAAAATGAATACGAAATACGTTCTAGGAAGTGACCACAACAATGTTAACAATGTCCACTCGCGTAATTCAATCACTTTGACTTTCAATTGAACTATTAGCCACAGTATTGTTCAAAATGCCCTTATAAATGGTATCAACTGTTTGATTAATATATAATTTTTCTCCCTCAAACCTTCACTCAGCGAGTTTTAACATAAAATTTTTGAACTTTGAAATGACCAAGTATGACTGAAGGTCATATGATAAAAAACAGTCTTTTTCCAATTATAAAACTGAATTCGTACTGCCGACGAAAGTTCTAGAGTTTTCTGTCGACACTTTTGTGCGCTCTGTTAACTGCTGAGTTCACACCACTTTGATAGCTCCGTTTAAAATTAATAGCTTTTCAAAGTTATAAGCACCAAGTACGAACACCCACAAAAACCTGTTTCAGAGCACCTTAAGTAACTACGTGTTCGTGGGGAACTATTTTTAAATGATTGAAAAAATCTTAAACAATTTTTTTGAATCAAACGTGTTGTTTGCATCACTGCAAAAGATCATTTTGCAATCCCAAAACCTGGAATAGCAGCATCTTGACGACACACGGGCGTTCTTTCAGAATTACAAAGTGAAGGTTTCTTACTTTAATAAATTTCATAACCAATATCAAGAGGATTCGGATTAAGCGTCCAGTTTTTGCAGACAGCGGGTCTCAGATAAGGGATTGGGTTGTCTTCTTTATAACAGTATTTGGCCAATGGGTGTGAAATTTCTTGAGACAGAATAATTTAATTCTTTTCGGCATACTTGCTTTCTGTTCACAGGGGACCAGAAGTTACTAACTGTTGACGTAGATAACATTTAGTTCTATCTAAACAAATTTACAGGGATTTCAAGCTGAACTAGAGACGGTTGTTTAACATGTTCTTCAAATAACAACCATGTGTAACATCGAAACGAAGACATTGTACTCGAACTTTAGATTTGTTTCGTTTCTACGCGCACAAGATGACCAACAACTTGAAATCTTTACGTTTTAGTTCTGATGTAGTGGATAAATAAATAACTACTTCGATTGCCATTGAAAAAATAAAAACTTCGGGTATAGAAACACTAAGTTAACTAGCATCACCAGAGTCTAAAAATATAACCAATAACATGACATTTGATTACGATATTCACTGTAAAACAGTTCAGTTAAACAGTAATTACGTTCCACTGGCGCTTATTCAAGAAACTAACTTAAAATTATAGGAGGTTATCAAAACAACTGATGGAAATGATGTAATAATCGTGGCCAGGAAAATGATTTTAATTCGTAAATATAAAATTTCCAGAAGCAATCTTGAAGTTGCTAGTTTGTGGAAATCGAGGGAATTAAGCTATAAACTCGTGGTACATGGAAGAATCATAGATAAATTCAATAAAATATATTAAATAGGTGTGTTTTTTGTAAAATTTGTTAGTTCAGAGTTCTTTAAAAGCCGCTAGTGAACATGAATTATAGGGTAAAAAGAAAATTGACGATGAACAATTTTAGTTAAGGATTTCATTAAGGGACTGTCTCATCTTTTTTAAAATCAGCAACAAACTTGGGAATATTATAAAAGCTTACAGTAACCTATCAGACCAGAGGCAATCGAAGATCTAGTTTAAATCAACAGGTGATTATTAATAAGCCAACATGAGTTGGTTATTTGAATTTTTGTTCTGGTCAGTGATTTAAATTACTATTGTTTTTATAAGACGAAGACATTTTTATGACTGTACTTAGGTTTAAGTAGTAAGTAAAATTAGAAGTAATAAAATACGATGGTAGATTATGACTTAAATGATTTCATATTTAACTAAAGATTACTGAAAATTTTCAAATAAATGATAGTTGGGGCCGATGTATAGAATATGTTGCAAACAGTGTAACTTGTGGTAGCGTGAGAGCAGACGATAGAATATGTTGCAAACAGTGTAACTTGTGGTAGCGTGAGAGCAGACGATTCGGTAAATGATGCTTGTAGTGTTTGTTTTATGTAGCGAAAAGGAAGATCCTGTATGTATTCTAAGATATATTATCACATATTGTATACTAATGTGATTTTTTACAGCGATGTAGAAAAAGTTGCAGTAGGTTTGTTACGTTGGAAGCTGGCATTACGTCATAGGTGATTAGAGCAATATCCCAGAATATATAGCATCGAATTCCTTTTTTTCCCCCTCACGCAGAATATCCACAGATACAAAATCTTTAAGCTTATTTAGCCAATAGCTGTCAACGAGCTCGTAGACTTATTCTGGAGATTTAATTGTCGGAATCACCAAGTCCAGTGTCTCTGAAAAAAAGAAAGAAATAAAATAGATGAATATAGTTTAATAGTATAAACACATAAACAACCTAATAGTTGGTAGCGAGTAAGTTATAAAAACAAACCCAGACTGCAACACACTCGAAGAGAAAGAGAAACAGAGAATTCCAGGAAACAAATAACAGTATGAAAAAAGAGAGACCCATTCTGCGAAAGTTGGATCCAACTAGTTTTCTCGAAAGGGGGCCGAAGGCCATCTGGAGGGGTCACCTGTTTTAACCACTCTAACAACTCTACAGTAGTGTGTTGTCTGTCTGTCAGTCAGTCAGTAGACAATAAAATGATGTCACATAAGGGACGTTTAACATTGCAATTTGTGCTGTCGTGACGTCAGTAAAATGCGCGCATGCTATGAATCACGAGAAGAATTATGCACTCTGTAGGCTACAACACAGCAAGACTTACGAATTTCAAAAGCAAAAAATAAAAAAATTGTTACTCTTAGTTTTGGTTTTATTTACTATTGAAACGGAACACTTTCGGGGACCCTGCGGAAGTACATATTGTAGTACATACACCTTACTTATTGGATTTAACCAAAATTCTAAACCTAGCAGAGAAAAAGAGTGGAAATATGATTATGTAAGCTTCAGTTGCAGTGTTCTGCGTTTATGTTTATAGTAACTTATAGGAAGATAGTTACTTCTAACAATTCAGAACCAAATAAACGATTAAGAACGGACTAAAAGCGGTCTTCAGTAAAGTCTAATCCCTGAAGCTGATCCCTAGATGATCAACAACAAGAAGTTAATGTTAATGTTCACCACAAGTTCAAGCTACTGATAAATGAACATCCTTGTTCTATACAACCTTCTGGTCGTACCTACTTATCTTGTACAGGTGCTGTAATAGATTACCTTGATATATTTTTGTTGTTTGGAAAACTTAACGGATCTATAGTTAGACATAATATCATCATCATCTTTAAGTTTAGAGTATTTTATTTTGCTTATTTTAGGAGTTTATTGTTGGAAATGCAGAGATATAATATTAAGCACTAATTTTATATATCATTCTGATTAGGCAATAAGCCCGAACAACCTTGTTCTCATGTTGAGGCGCAATAACAAACAATTACGCCTTATATTTTCTACTTTCATTCTTTGTAATTTTGCGATTGTTGAACAAACAACAACAGGTAAACGGATTATCCCAGTAACTAAATAAGTAGGTTTTACATATGCAGGTATATGTATAATCAGGATGCATTCTATATTTTTCACACATCAGTTTACTTCCGTCAAAAGATGAAATCTATAAACAGACACCATCTGGAAGGTAGACCTCCCTTCTGCGGGGGTGAATTGCAATACGTCTTTCATTTTGACTGAACATTAATTTTGTATTATTGTATCAAAGAAAGCTAGATGTCCCAGAGAAATAACTTTACTGTTTTTAATTTTCTGAATCACGTAACAGTGTAGTTGAACAACACGTGAGTAAGACAAGCAGGCGGGCAGGTAAAGAACCACAGATTTGTGTAAATTAAATGCTTTTTTGCACAGAAGAGATTTAACTGTGGGTAACTAACTTACTACTAACTAACATACAAAAATGTAGTAAATTAATACAGACAAGTCAGCTGCTTTATTCAAAACTTTTCTGAATGGTTTATAATGTAGTTATATTTAGTTCAAAGTGAAAGGATCACATTTCATGAATTTCAGTTTAATGCAAATTTATTTAATTATTACTATATTTTAATCATATACGTTTGTTTATTATTTATTTGTAT